CAGTTTGAAATTTTTCATAGTTACATATGCATGGCTTAATCTTTGAGACAAGCATATGAATACTGTCAGGATCAATCAGGTAGCATTCCTCATTGACGTCGATGCATGAGCATGGCCGACCCAAAAGGCACGGCCAAGTCCAAGACGAGCACGACCGTCATTCGTAAGGAGCATTATATGGGCAGATTGGAGCCAATGAAGACCACATGCCCACTGCCTTTACCGAATCTGAGAGTCCGAGCATACTAGTCATGGACCAAGCCATCACACGACGAAGCGAAGACGATGTGGGACACGAGGGGCGAAAGGCAATCGATTGTACTTGATAATGCCTGCGCATTAGGTATGCAACACAGGAAACCGACATCGAACAAGTCTAATTTGCGCTTGTACCTTGATTGAGATGGCATGTGGCTAGGACGTCGCTGCTCAAGCAGGGATCCAACCTAGCCGCACAAGCCGAACACCACTAATATGTGCATAATCCATATATTATAAATGTATAGTTGTGCATAATCAGTATATAATTTATGTATACCAATTAGAAAAATTAAACAATTAATATGACCGATTATTTGTGTAAAAATCCATCTTTTTTTCTTTCTTTTTTTTTTTTTTGCTTCTTGAAGAGAAAGGGATGGCGGAATTTGAAGGTAAATTTAGAAAGATTAAGACCTTTTAAGCAGTAATATTGTTTCGCATCTCACAATCTGTCCTTTGACTTATGGAAAGGGCCCATAGATTGAACCTACAATTAGGTAGCTAATTAGAATGATTAATTCCTACCCAATGAAATGTGATGTTTAAGTAAGAGGGAGATAAAGGATAGTGTAGACGAATATCCTCATGATTAGACTATTAAATATTTTTCTTAAAATTTAATAAACTTTTTAAAGAAAAAAACAAATAATATGGAGCGAATATAGCAGTTTGGTATGGGACCTCGAAGGTTATTAGATTTGCCACATAACTAGTTATAGCCAATATATATGGAGTTATAATTTACAGCCAATTGGAGTACTATGACAGTCAGCAGCAAAGGTTGTGGTGAATAGACTCTCTTCTATTTCTAATCAGGGATTTCGGGTTCAAATTTCGGGTATAAACTCGTTTTTGGTAGGAAGCACTTCAAAGCGAGACTTTACAGCGTAAATTTAAATTAATCGTTCTCCAATATAAATATCGAACACCGAATTATTGAAAGAAAAAAAGAGATGTTTGATAGCTGATGACATAAGTGCTCCAACCTTAAACTTGTTTAAGAGAACGCGTTTTAAAATTTAAATAATCAGCTGTCATAATGACATAATAATAACCAGTTTTTTCCAATAATTAATAAGCAGATGAGCACCAAATGCCAACCAAAGCTATCAAAAGCTTTTGTATTTCATTCCCATTAGATATACAACGCAGAAAAGAAGTCTTGTTAGAAAAATTACGCCGTAATAATACGTATATTCTTCCTTATCCTATCATATATACAACTCAGTTTTTGGACCAATCAACATCCAGATAAACACGGTGCGAGGTTTTCTCCTGATCATAAAAATTCAAATTGCCTTCTAATTTAAGGTCATTATTTCCTTCTAAGTTTAAGATAATATATTTAAATCCAAATATATTTAAGCTTAAGGACTAGATAACTAAAAGTCCGTTTGGAACAGCTGATTGTAAATAGTTGATAAGTTTGAAATGCTGAAAAATATTTTTAAGTGATGAAACTAATTTTTTAAATAAGTACGTACGTGTTTCGATAGACATGCTGAAACTGATAATAAGCAGTTGATGTGTTTGGTAGAAAAGTGCTCATAAGCTATTTTTTATTAAAATGACTAAAATACCCTTAAAACTTTACAAAAGATATTATAAATTAAAAAAATTCTTTGTAAAGAAAAGAATGAATAATGAATATAGTATGAAGAGAAAGTCAGAAAATTTATTTTGGGAAAAATATTTTGTGAATTCAAATATATTATTAAGGATAAACTAGTAAAAGCCTTGGTCAAACTAAAAGTACTTATAAGTTGAAAAGCCATAAGTTGGGGGTGACCAACTTATGACTTATGGCTGATTTTAGCCTATAAACACTTCGGGTGTTTACCAAACACGTAGATAAGTCAAAATGTGTTTATAAGTCAGTTTGACCAACTTATAAATTTAGCCAAACGCCCTCTAGATTGATATTTTGTTCTCACTATATATATATATATATATATATATATATATATATATATATATATATTAAAAATTCCTATTATATTTACAAAAATATTAGAGAAAAATTTAATTTATACGATATTGTAAAATATTTTAGTTAAACACACACACTAAAAGCTAGTGACGCTAGTAAAAGTCGATGTTTGGTAGTTAGGATGACGGTCATGAGATGGTGGCTGACGGTGCTGGTTGATGGTGGTGGCCGATGGTAATGATCGTTCTTGTGGTGGTGGGTTGAGGTGGCTAGTGATGGTGATTATTGTGCAATGACGGTGATAATAATTATACAATTGTAGTCGATGGTAACGGTTGTGCGATAATATTAGATAAAGTGATAGTAAATTGTCACCTTCACAAATTATTATTTAAAAATCTCATAATTATAATTTTTTCCATTTTTGAAGCAAAAGTTGACCTCCAATAATTGAATGGTTGAGAGTAAATTCAAGAAATATAAACGCCATGTAACACGCATTTGATCCCTATCCAAATAATTTAAATCAGAAACGTACGGTGGTAATAGTCTAACCTATTTCCAATTTCCACAAGCGAAACGGTTGCTTGTAGATAAAGTTGCTTTACGTTCAAATATATACTAGTATATTTTAAAAAACAAAATATTTGCTTGAAGTTGACAACATAACCACATTATTCTCTATATAAATAATTTTTAAATAAAATTATTAACAATTATTATTCTCCATACATACATGTACACGTAGACAGAGAAATAAACATAGAAAAAAGTCTTAAATAGTGCTCTAAAAGGGTGGCTCAAAAGTAGGGTCAAGTGCCATTGGCCTTCTTCTCAACTCTCCTTTGAGAGAGACAAAAAGAAGTGGTTATTGTTCTTACACACACAAAAAATTTTGAGAAATTTAATTCTTTTCAAAAATTTGATCCGAGAAATAAAGTTTGTTTTGCCTTCTTGGTGTTTGAGGAAATATATCCTTGAGCCGAGATTCTATCCGAAACAGTCTCTCCACTTTCACAAGATCGGGGTAAGATCTGTGTACGTGCACACTATCCTCTCCAAAATCTACTTGGAGATTTCACTGGGCTTTTTGTTGTTGTTGTCATCGTCGTTGCCGTATTTGGGGAATATAAATATGGGTCAATGTGTTTCTACGTTTGCATGTCAAGAAAATAGAAGGGCAATTTCTTGGAGGCATGGAAATAAAGATGTTTCAGTATCATCAAAAAGTAATAAAAAAGAAGCCTCAGGGAATAAGAAACATAAAGTTTCTACTGCTTCAGGTTGCTATGCAATGATCAAAGAACAACGTTCAAGATTCTATATTATTAGAAGATGTGTTTTTATGCTCATCTTTTGGCATAGGCATAGCAAGATTTGATATTTTTTCTCTCCCTTAATTTTTCCATCTTTGCTTCTTTTTCTTGGTATTAATTCAAGATTGGTTGAAGGGGTCGAAAGAGTGAGCAGGGTGGGCGGGTTGAAAATAGGGTCGAAGAAAAACGGGTCAAAAATATTACGGTCAATTTGATAATGATCAAGTAAAATTGCTTCTTCATCCCCTGAATCAAGCAATCCCTTAGATATAATGCAAAACGGCTCTTGAACATATTTCATGGGACTAAAATTATGCGGGTTGATTCGAATTGGATGGGTCGAACAATTTTGGGTTGAATTTTTGTCACCACTAGTCTAATTTGTACATGGTGTTTTTGGACTTTTGGGATAGTACAAAGGTTTGATAAGCAATTGTAAATGTTACGTTGGATATAATAAAATTAGTTTTGTTTTGGATTTCTATAATTATTTTGCCCGATTTTATGATCTTTCTTGTTTTTTTCTATATTCCATTGACATTGAGAATTTATATGTAGTACTTATTATACTTATATTAGTAGTTTTGCATCAATAATTGAGTATTATTTTGTATTTTCCTTTTCTTAGATCTCTATTACTACTTGTATCGAGCACTTCAGTTATCTTATTTTCATGTCGTTATTGTTGTTTGTTGTCAGTGCTTCCTTTTTTGTTTTCCTGAGCCAGGGGTCTATCAAAAATAGTATTTTTACCTCCCTAAACTCCTATTATGGGATTACACTGGGTTTATTGTTATTGTTGTTCATCAATAAATGCTTGAAAAATATTCTATTTAAAATTGCTTCCTAAGGGAAGCGATTTTAAATAGAATTTCTTAAATTTTTAATTTAGAAACAAGTGAATTTCCATTCTTTTATATTCCTTGTAATTGAAATTGACATTTCCTATGCATAATTGCATCAGCAAACTGTAATACCATTTCATATGATTAATTGGTTCATCCTTCTATAGTATGATTCTTTAATATTCAAATTTAACCAGATACCAATTGATCAATATGATTCACCAACACAAAAACAAGTTAGTATATTCTTGTTAAAGGCGCATTCAGAATTTAGATTGTGTGTTGTTAGTTGAAAGAGTGGATTCTGAAATATAAATTTAAGTCTATTTATGCCACTTTTTGCACATATATGAGGTTCGAACCACATATATTAAGTTCTACCGAACTCATGATCCTATTGTTGTATTTGCGCGCAAATGATTCTTGTTCTACTCGTGTAACAAGATATATATATATATAGGATTTATTTCGATACATTGAATTCTATTAAACCCATAAATGTGAGCACCTAATTTTTGACCATATTTGAATTTTTATCACTTTTTTGTATTTAATATTTTCTAGGTTTAATCTTGATATTTTAACTTTTATATTATTTTATTAGAGAATATATAATATTTTTAACAAAGTCTATTACATAAAGGGCAGAAGAATTTATTTTAAATCATGCATCAAATCTAATAAAATTGCTTTCTACTTTTCCTATATTATTTCCTTGTCACATCAACCACCTACTACACTATTTACTTGTAACATCCATCCCATTTTCCATCATTCATTTTCAACACTCCTCTCATCTTTTCTTATTATATGTACACAGGTGAGGAAGAAAAGAAAAAAAAAAAGGAAGAGGGGAAGATAGATCTAGAAAAAGAGAGAAAAAACAAGAGAGCTAGGGGGGAAGAGGGAACGGACAGATAGTGAGAGAAAAGAGGGGAATTGAGAGCCAGAAACAGAGAGGGTAATATAGTAAAGAACAGAGGACGGAGTCCAAATCCTTGATTTTCCAAGTCCAGATTAAAAAAAATTAAACCAAAAAATATTTTTCCATTTTATTATTGAAATAGTTTGAGATTCAGAGTTAGAGTTTGATTTTTTTTATCGAAGTTCATTGCTTGAGCTCGTTTGGAGTTGCAGTCCGTGTTTAGTTTGGAGATCCGTTGAGGATCGAAATTTTATTTTAGCTGCTGATTTGGGGTATAGTTTGAGGTTAATTCCGTGGTTCGCGGTCCGAGCTCCTGCTGCAGTTTCATTTTTCGGTCGGATTTAGTTTGCCGTAGTTTGCTGTAACCGAGTTCTTGTTAATCACCCGGCTAAAAGTATTTTCGTTAATCCAAGTTCAGAGATTGTTTTAGCTCCACTTGAGGTCCATTCTTTCCTCTTTCCTTTGCTCTTGTTTTTTTTTTTTGAATTATCTCATGGGATTTGTCTGTCTTTACTTGCTTTAATTGATCTCCACGGATGAATAGCCGTTGTAGTATGTTTGTTGATTGAGATAAATTAGTCTAGTTGTTGTTTTTTATTAAATTAGTGATTGAATTTGATTTCCAGTGCTAGCACGCCAAACTAAAATGAGACTACTAATCCTTAAGAAATCCACTTCAATTTTATTGACTTTGGAATAGTAAATTGGGTTATGAGGTCAGTATTTGAAAAGATGAGAATCTTGTTAATTGAAATTAAATGAAATCTAGGCTTTGGTCATAGTTTATGCTTATAATTGGGTTTAATACTAAGTTTAATTATGTTTTATTTGTTTGGACCGCTAGTAGCATGTTTAGACCAACCACGCTTGAGTAGGTAAATTTTTAAGACGTTTATATTTTAGTTTTGAGGTGAGAGGTCGTCCCCTAGTTTATTATTTTATCCGAAGAATGCCTCGAGAATTTTGTATATATTTTATCCGGAGCATGCTCCGTAGTGAATGTAATAAGAGGTTGTGATGAAAACCGTCAGAATGCTTTAGGCGCACTTTTAATTAATCTATCGCGATTATGTATACGTTCGTGTGACATAATTGTGATTTTCAAAATTAAAACCGAAGTATGCGTTCGCGCAACTTTGGACAAAATAATCTTAATATTAATAAAACGCTAATAATTTTGTACACATACGCGTGACATGATTTTGGCGCAATAAACAAAGGTTCCCGAAAGAGATTTATGTCTGCCTACTTGTCAAAAACAAGCAAAGAAAAGACCGCAAGATTGATTACGGGTTCCCTGTAATACTGAACAGATACTATGAAATATGCACATCACGCAAAAGGCGCATACCCAGTTGCGATTCTCTTTGACAAACAAACTACTCAAAAAGCAAGAAGTCATTCAAGATATCAGAAAAGGTCACCTAAGTAAAGATCTCCAGTTGGGATAAGGCTGATTGACCCACAAACACAATCAGGGTTGGTACAGAGAGCAAAAGTCTCTTGAAAGCAACAACAAAGTCTACCAGCAATATAGCCAACTACCAATACAGTCAGTCTTCCTGAAGTGAATGGGCACAAAGCCAAGCTGCCAAAGACATCAAGGGCACAAACTGACCACCACTTTTAAAACTCACAAATTTTCTTTGTTTGAAACAGAAACAAACCAGTGTAGGATGGCGATCCTTAAAGGACGAATATCACCAAAGGTAAGTTTCCGCAAAATCTCCATTTTCTTTTATTTTCAGCATGTATCACTATTATTCATACATTTCTTTTTCGTAGTTTAACCCAGGTAAAATCTTTTCGCCTAGCGTGATCCAGTTCATAGTTCCGAGTAGAAGTAATCTTCGCTCAGGATGTTTTACGTACTTAACTCAGGTAGAACCTTTTCGCCTAGGAGGATCTAGCTCATATTTCGGGTAGAAGTACTCTTCGCCCAGGCTTGATTTTTGTAGCTTAACCCAGGTAGAACCTGTTTGCCTAAGGGGATTCCGCTCATATTTTTGGGTTGAAGTACTCTTCACCCATGCTTAGTTTACGTAACTTAACCCAGGTAGAACCTTTTCGCCTGGGGGGATCCAGCTCATAGTTTCGGGTAGAAGTACTCTTCGCTCAGGATATTTTCGTAGCTTAACCCAGGTAGAACCTTTTCGCTTAGGGGGATCCAGCTCATAGTTCCGGATAGAAGTACTCTTCGCTCAGGATGTTTTCGTAGCTTAACCCAGGTAGAACCTTTTCGCTTAGGGGGATCCAGCTCATAGTTCCGGATAGAAGTACTCTTCGCTCAGGATGTTTTCGTAGCTTAACCCAGGTAGAACCTTTTCGCTTAGGGGGATCCAGCTCATAGTTCCGGATAGAAGTACTCTTCGCTCAGGATGTTTTCGTAGCTTAACCCAGGTAGAACCTTTTCGCTTAGGGGGATCCAGCTCATAGTTCCGGATAGAAGTACTCTTCGCTCAGGATGTTTTCGTAGCTTAACCCAGGTAGAACCTTTTCGCTTAGGGGGATCCAGCTCATAGTTCCGGATAGAAGTACTTTTCACCCAAGATGTTTTACGTAGCTTAACCAAGGTAGAATATTTTCGCCTAGGAGGATCCAACTCATAGTTCCGGGAAGAAGTACTTTTCGCTCAGGATGTTTTACTTAGCTTAACCCAGGTAGAACCTTTTCGCCTAGGGGAATCCAGCTCATAGTTCCGGGTAGAAGAACTCTTCGCTCAGGGTGTTTTACGTAGCTTAACTCAGGTAGAACCGTATCGCCTAGGGGGATCCATCTCATAGTTCTGGGAATAAGTACTCTTTGCTCAGGATGTTTTAAGTAGCTTAACCCACGTATAACTTTTTTGCCTAGGATGATCCAGCTCATAGTTCCGGGTAGAAGTACTCTTCTCTCAGGATGTTTTAAGTAGCTTAACCAAGGTAGAACCTTTTCGCCTAGGGGGATCCAGCTCATAGTTCAGGGTAGAAGTACTCTTCGCTCAAGTTGTTTTTCGTAGCTTAACTCAGGTAGAACGTTTTCACCTAGGGAAATCCAGCTCATAGTTCCGGGTAGAAGCAATCTTCGCTCAGGTTATTTTTCGTAGCTTAACCCAGGTAGAATATTTTCACCTAGGGGGATCCAGCTCATAGTTCCGGGTAGAAGTACTCTTCGCTCCGGATGTTTTACATAGCTTATCTCAGGTAGAATATTTTCGCCTAGGGTGATCCATCTCATAGTTCCGGATAGAAGTACTCTTCGCTCGGGATGTTTTACATAGCTTATCTCAGGTAGAACCTTTTCGCCTAGGGTGATCCATCTCATAGTTTCGGATAGAAGTACTCTTCGCTCGGGATGTTTTACGTAGCTTAACCCAGGTAGAACCTTTTTGCCTAGGGGGATCCAGCTCATAGTTTCGGGTAGAAGTACTCTTCGCTCAGGATGTTTTACGTAGCTTAACCCAGGTAGAACCTTTTTGCCTAGGGGGATCCAGCTCATAGTTCCGGGTATAAGTACTCTTCGCTCAGGCTGTTTTTACGTAGCTTAACCCAGGTAGCGTTATTTCACTCAGGGGGATCCAGCTCATAGTTTCGGGTAGAAGTACTCTTCGCTCAGGATGTTTTACGTAGCTTAACCCAGGTAGAGTTGTTTCGCCCAGGGGGATCTGTCTCATAGTTCCGGATAGAATTACTCTTCGCTCGGATGTTTTACGTAGCTTAACCCAGGTAGAACCTTTTCGCCTAGGGAGATCCAGCTCATAGTTCCAGGTAGAAGTACTCTTCGCTCAGGATATTTTACGTAGCTTAATTCAGGTAGAACCGTTTCACCTAAGAGGATCCAACTCATATTTCCGGTTAGAAGTACTCTTCGCTTAGGGTGTTTTAAGTAGCTTAACTCGGGTAGAACCGTTTCGCCTAGGGGGTCCAACTCATATTCCGGGTAGAAATACTCTTCGCCAGGATCACTTTTCGCAGTTAACCTAGGTAAAACCTTTTCGCCAAGGGGATTCATTTTAATTTCAGTAATATAGTGTACCAATCCCTGGTTACATTTATTTTCCGTAATACAGGGTGCCATCCCCTGACTACATTTCCTTTTAGTAATATAGGTCGCCATCCCATGATTACATTCTTTCAGTAATACAGCATACCAACCCCTGATTACATTCTTTTTCCGTAGCACATGCTACCAACCCCTGGTTACATCTCCTTACCGGCATCAAGGTATACCAATCCCTAGTTCCTTTCATTTTAGACAAGGTCTACATTTCCTAGTCTTTTATTATTATTTTTTTCATGGTACACCATTCCCGACCTTTTATTGCTTTCAATAAAGAAGTAGTTTAGAATTTTATTACAATAATTTACGAAATATTTCCAGTGCAAACTGGGGCAGAAAAATTTGATTCGTTTGTTTGTTTTGGTGTCTGAGTAGGTTTTACCTCGAGGCACATGGTTCGAGATGACCAAAAAAAGAAGTCTCAATCCAAAATAAAGGAAAAAAACAAAAAGAAGTGAATCCAGAATGCAGAAGCGGATGAAAAGATGTGAACTGCTCAAGACATGACTGAAATCACAAGCATTGCATTTCCCATTTTCAGCAGAAGAGGACGTAGAAGAATGAACTGGCACCTGTAGCGAGCAAGCATCAAGGTTCAGATTAGTCTGCATGAATAACCAGTCAAGACTCAAGATCAAGTTTTAGAAGACTTATAAATAGGAATCTTGTAACTCATAGCTTATAGGCTTGTTTAGTTTCTTTTGATTTTTATGTAATAACAAAACCACAGACCAAAGCCTCGACGGAACCTCACTCGACTCTCTAACTCATCATTCCATCACTCTTCTTGAACTACACGCGACCTGATTCCCTTATAACCCGGGATATGTAGGTTGTCCAAATCCAGGACTCGATTGTACTCTTTCACTCTTTTCTCTTATTCTTCCCTTTTGAATAATGATATGGTAAAAATCAGTCACATAGCTCACCTGTTTCTTTGCCTGAAAACTTTTTATGTTTCCAAGCAAATAGGGGCATGTTGTGAGCACCTAATTTTTGACCATATTTGAGTTTTTATCATTTTTTTGTATTTAGTATTTTCTTGGTTTAATCTTGATATTTTAACTTTTATATTATTTTATTAGTAGATTTTATAAGAGAATATGTAATATTACTAACAAAGTCTATTACATAAAGGGCGGAAGAATTTATTTTAAATTACGGACCAAATCTAATAAAATTGCTTTCTACTTTTCCTATACTATTTCTTTGTCACATCAATCACCTACTACACTATTCACTTGTCACATCCATCCCTTTTCCCATCATTCATTTTCATCACTCCTCTCATCTTTTCTTCTTATATGTACACACGTGAGGAAGAAAAGAAAAAAAAAGGCATAGGGGAAGATAGTTCTAGAAAAAGAGAGAAAAATGAGAGAGCTAGGGGAAAGAGGGAACGGACATATAGTGAGAGAAAAAAGGGGAATTGAGAGCCAGAAACAGAGAGGGTAACATAGTAAAGAACAGAGGACGGAGTCCAAATCCTTGATTTTCCAAATCCATATTAAAGAAAATTAAACCAAAAAATATTTTTCCATTTTATTATTGAAATAGTTTGAGATTCAGAGTTAGAGTTTGATTTTTTTAATCGAAGTTCATTGCTTGAGCTCGTTTGGAGTTGCAGTCCGTGTTTGGTTCGGAGATTTGTTGATGATCGATATTTTATTTTAGCTGCTGATTCGGGGTATCGTTTGAGGTAAATTTCAAGGTTCGCGGTCCGAGCTCCTGCTGCGGTTTCATTTTCCGGTCGGATTTAGTTCGCCGTAGTTTGCTATAACCGAGTTCTTGTTAATCACCCGTCTAAAAATATTTTCGTTAATCTAAATTCAGAGATTGTTTTAGCTCCACTTTAGGTCCATTCTCTCCTCTTTCCTTTGCTCTTGTTTTTTTTAGAATTATCTCTTGGGATTTGTCTGTCTTTACTTGCTTTAATTGATCTCCACGGATAAAAAGCTGTTGTGGTATGTTTGTTGATTGAGATGAATTAGTCTAGTTGTTGCTTTTTATTAAATTAGTGGTTGAATTTGATTTCCAGTGCTAGCACGCCAAACTAAAATGAGATTACTAATCCTTAAGAACTCCATTTCAATTTTACTGACTTTGGAATAGTAAATTGGGTATTGGGGTCAATATTTGAAAATATGAGAATCTTGTTAATTGATATTAAATGAAATCTAGACTTTGGTCATAGTTTATGCTTATAATTGGGTTTAATACTAAGTTTAATTATGTTTTATTTGTTTGGACTGCTAGTAGCATGTTTAGACGAACCACGCTTGGGTAGGCAAATTTTTAAGACGTTTATATTTTAGTTTTGATGTGAGAGGTCGTCCCCTAGTTTATTATTTTATCCGGAGAATGCCTCGAGGATTTTGTATAAATTTTATCCGGGGCATGCTCCATAGTGAATGTAATAAGAGGTTGTGATGAACACCGTTAGAATGCTTTAGGCGCGCTTTTAATTAATCTATCGCGATTATGTATACGTTCGCGTGACATAATTGTGATTTTCAAAATTAAAACTGAAGTATGCATTCGTACAACTTTGGGCAAAACAATCTTAATATTAATAAAACGCTAATAATTTTGTACACATACGCGTGGCATAATTTTGGCGCAATAAACAAAACGGTTGAACACGCGCGATTTGTTTCAAAGATAATATTTTAATGATTAAAAGAAAATAGATAAAATATGAAAACCAATAAATCACAGTTTATCAAAAATAATATAAGCCAAATGTAGTCAATAAATCGATCGTGCTAGAACCACGGGACTCGGAAAATGCCTTACACCTTCTCCCCGATCAACAGAATTTCTTACCCGGACTTTATTTTCATTCACCAATAATAATAGAGTCAAACCTTCTTTTGACTAGGGATTCAAATAAAAGGTGACTTGGAACACCCAAAAACTAAATTCTAAGTGGCGACTCTGTAAATAAATTAATCCCTACTCGAGTTTGTCACTTTAATTGAAAAAACTCTTTAATCCATAATTCACATCACATATTACGCATACCCAGTTGCGATTCTCTCTGACAAATAAACTGTTCAAAAAGCAAGAAGTCATTCAAGATATCAGAAAAGGTCACATAAGTAAAGATCTCCAGTTGGAATAAGGATGATTGAGCCACAAACACAATCAGGGTTGGTACAGAGAGCAAAAGTCTCTTGAAAGCAACAACAAAGTCTACCAGCAATGTAGCCAACTACCAATACAGTCAGTCTTCCTGAAGTGAATGGGCACAAAGCCAAGCTGCCAAAGACATCAAGGGCACAAACTGACCACCACTTTTAAAACTCACAAAGTTTCTTTGTTTGAAGCAGAAACAAAACAGTGCAGGATGGCGATCCTTAAAGGACGAATATCACCAAAGGTAAGTTTCCGCAAATTCTCCATTTTCTTTTATTTTCAGCATGTATCACTATTATTCATACATATCTTTTTCGTTGCTTAACCCAGGTAGAATCTTTTCGCCTAGGGGGATCCAGTTCATAGTTCCGAGTAGAAGTAATCTTCGCTCGGGATATTTTACGCAGCTTAACCCAGGTAGAACCTTTTCGCCTAGAGGATCTAGCTCATATTTTGAGTAGAAGTACTCTTCGCCCAGGCTTGCTTTTTGTAGCTTAACCCAGGTAGAACCTGTTCGCCTAAGGGGATTCGGCTCATATTTTCAGGTTAAAGTACTCTTCATCCATGCTTAGTTTACATAGCTTAACCCGGGTAGAACCTTTTCGCTTAGGGGGATCCAGGTCATAGTTCTGGGTAGAAGTACTCTTCGCTCAGGATGTTTTCGGAGCTTAACCAAGGTAGAACCTTTTCGCCTAGGGGGATCCAGCTCATAGTTCCGGGTAGAAGTACTCTTCGCCCAGGATGTTTTACGTAGCTTAACCCACGTAGAACCGTTTTGCCTTGGGGGATCCAGCTCATAGTTCCGGGTAGAAGTACTCTTCGCCTAGGATGTTTTACGTAACTTAACCCAGGTAAAATATTTTCGCCTAGGAGGATCCAACTCATAGTTCCGGGTAGAAGTACTCTTCGCTCAGGATGTTTTACTTAGCTTAACCTAGGTAGAACCTTTTCGCCTAGGGGGATCCAGCTCATAGTTTCGGGTAGAAGTACTCTTCGCTCAGGATGTTTTACGTAGCTTAACTCAGGTAGAACCGTTTCGCCTAGAGGGATCCAGCTCATAGTTTCGGGTATAAGTACTCTTCGCTCAAGATGTTTTAAGTAGCTTAACCCAGGTATAACCTTTTTGCCTAGGGGGATCCAGCTCACAGTTCCGGGTAGAAGTACTCTTCTCTCAGGGTGTTTTAAGTAGCTTAACCCAGGTAGAACCTTTTCACCTGGGGGGATCCAGCTCATAGTTCCGGGTAGAAGTACTCTTCGCTCAAGTTATTTTTCGTAGCTTAACTCAGGTAGAATGTTTTCACCTAGGGGAATCCAGCTCATAGTTTCGGGTAGAAGTACTCTTCGCTCAGGTTGTTTTTAGCAGCTTAACCCAGGTAGAACCTTTTCGCCTAGGGGGATCCAGCTCATAGTTTCGGGTAGAAGTACTCTTCGCTCAGGTTATTTTTCATAGCTTAACCCAGGTATAACCTTTTCGCCTAGGGGATCCAGCTCATAGTTCCGGGTAGAAGTACCCTTCGCTCAGGATGTTTTACGTAGCTTATCTCAGGTAGAACATTTTCGCCTAGGGGGATCCATCTCATAGTTTCGAGTAGAAGTACTCTTCGCTCGGGATGTTTTACGTAGCTTAACCCAAGTAGAACCTTTTCTCCTAGGGGGGATCCATCTCATAGTTCCGGGTAAAAGTACTCTTCGCTTAGGTTATTTTTACGTAGCTTAACCTAGGTAGAGTTGTTTCACCCAGGGGGATCCTTCTCATAGTTCCGGGTAGAAGTACTCTTCACTCAGGATGTTTTACGTAGCTTAACCCAGGTAGAGTTGTTTCTCCCAGGGGGATCCAGCTTATAGTTTCGAGTAGAAGTACTCTTCGCTCGAGATGTTTTACGTAGCTTAACCCGGGTAGAACCTTTTCGCCTAGGGGGATCCAGCTCATAGTTTCGGGTAGAATTACTCTTCGCTCAGGATGTTTTATGTAGCTTAACTCAGGTAGAACCGTTTCGCCTAAGGGGATCCAACTCATATTTCCGGGTAGAAGTACTCTTCGCTCATGGTGTTTTACGTAGCTTAACTCGGGTAGAACCGTTTCGCCTAGGGGGATTCAACTCATATTCCGGGTAGAAATACTCTTCGCCCAGGATCGCTTTTCGCAGTTAATCCAGGTAGAACCTTTTCGCCAAGGGGATTCATTTTAATTTCAGTAATATAGGGCACCAACTCCTAGTTACATTTCTTTTCCGTAATACAGGGTGTCATCCCCTGATTACATTTTCTTTCAGTAAT